AAACAAAATCGTCTAAATATATGATATACACATTTAAGACGTATTCAAAACAAATAATTGACAGAAAATCATTACAGTAACGGCGTCTAAATATATGATATACACATTTAAGACGTATTCAAAACAAATAATTGACAGAAAATCATTACAGTAACGGCCAACTTAAAGTGAACAATACACACAGAAATGCGGTCACATGTTTTAAACGTATTTTAATGTCAAGAGGACGAAGACACATGAATTTCCTGCCACCAACAAACATAAATATTTCTTGCAGTGACAGCTAACACTACTGGTCTTTATTTTTATTTAATTTCAAGTGTAAACGTGCTTGCTTAAAGGGAAATACTTAAAGTACAAACAAACAAAAACAAACATTAACATTCAGTTCCTGAAATACGATAAATTTGACCTCCAATAGAAGCGCACATTTGCCAGTTACGTAAGCGCATGCACTTCTAATAGAGGAAATACGGTACTGACATCAAGATTGTAAAACCATGTTAATTACTGTAAATCTTGCTAATTAAAACAATTTAATTTTGAGAAAATAAATAGCTGCTACAATATGATTTGTCCAGAATGGACACTACCACTCGTCAAATGCCAGCGAATTCTGGAAAGCCTCGGGCAAATGATTTTAATTTATAAGTTTGCTAATTTGAAGTATAAGAATTGCTGTAATCGTACTTTTACAGAAATCACAATCTCAAATGGGAAAAAACATAAAACTGCATACAACAACAACAAATGGCAGCCGTAAAAGCTATATTTTTCTTTCCACCCCTGTGTTGCATAATCGGTCGTTAGCTGTTGTTGTTGTCCGACTGTTCAACGTCCAGATGTAGATTACTTAAATTCAAGCTACATGAAATTTAAACTATCACTCCCTGGATCAGGCGAACTATATATATTCCTATAAATTACTGTTTCAAGAAATCGATGCCCCAACAATTGCACAATTGAAATTTGAATTGATGAACACAACATGACGATGTGACAGAATGGAATGCACGACTCGATACGCCGCAACAGCCTGAGCAGGCACTCTCAAGTCACAATACGATAACTAGCTAGTACATACACTTTCAATATCAGTATTGTATCGTCATATCGTCATATTTCAATCGGCAACGTATCTGTTATGCAATTGCTTTTGAAAATTGAGCACTGTGTTTATCTATGGCTGCCAGGACAGCTGATTTTACTACCCCTTAAGTTAGTGTCTCTGTGACTGCGGTGACAAAAGATGACAATTCGGTCGGAAAGATGCGCAAGCAAAGAAAAGATAATTTAAACATGGACAATTACTCTAAATTATATACAAACTGTCCATATTTATTAAGAATTAGGAGATTTATTGATTTGTGCAGAAAAATATTAACAAAAAGCAAGAGAACTCTGGTTTTTAATTTTTGCGGGTACCAAAATAGAAGCAAATGTCAAAATAGTGGCTTAACAACCGTGTAGTCTAATCAGTCTTATTATCATGCTTCTTAAAGGGCGATGGTCGCCGCGCAGTGTGTTCGAATTTCATGTAAATAAGCAATAAATTTTACACTCATTTTATTTGCTGCTAAGAGTCCAATATTGAACAGGACCCGGCGCGACCGTGACGACCATCGCTCTTTAACCGTAATTATTGAGGTTCAAGTTATAACAGATACCATTCAGATTAGTGTCAGTCATTCGTTCCATATACGGATTGCTTACTCAGTAAGCCTAACTTTTAATACTGTCCATATTGCAATCTCATAATGAGTTCTCGATTTTGTGTAATCTATTCACTCTTATTACATAATAAGGGAGAAAATGAGTCGAGGTTGCTGGATGTGTTGAGACGTATTTGTGACAGATTCCAGCAAATCAGTTTGAATTCTAAATATTCATTCTCCATTTGGCCTCGGTTATGCCTAGATATGGGCAGTCGAGATGTATTCACATTAAAGTTGCAATCATGCGTTTCTAACAATAGAAAAGTGGTATCGCAAACAAAATTACGAAATTTCTTGTGTGTACTCAAACTAGAAAAATGAAACGCTGAACATAGTTGAATGTGTTGGTCAATTTCTGTGTTCCACGCGTTAGGAAGAATGCAATCTATTGACGCATCAGCAAGACTCTACAGCCATAGAAGAGGAATACTATTTTCCGCTAGTGTGTCAAAAACATGCCTTCAGAATATTGTTATCAATTAGCGTTATAACCCTGGTAAGCATTCCTGGCTAAGATGCTCTGATAAACTTCTCACTACAAATAATGGAAACTTCCTTGAAATGTAATCAAGATCAACGATATATTTCCTCATATTTGCTCGTGACAACGTTTATTCAGTTTTTTACAAACATTGCGAACAAACCTAAACTCATCATTAAGCTTTGTAATGTAATTTAGCCAATTTCTCAACTTGAGTTTTACACTTGAACGCGGAAGTTCAAACCCAAGTAGATCCTAGAGTACTGATTTGTTTCCTGTGAAACTTTTATGCTATGTTTGCATCATGTTTATTTACACAAAACACACGAAAAAAAGTCAATGATTGTTAATAGTATATTTTGTAGTATACAGTATTAAAAAAACCTGAAAAAACACTACCTACATAGTGTGACAGTTTATTGGTCACAACCCCTCACCAACTGAATAAAGAAAACGATAGATAATATTCATTTTAAAACATAAAAACGCATGCATACTTCAACGTTTTGATATTTTTGTGAAAATTGTAACAGTGTGGAGCCAAAACAGTCTAAATATAAAGAAAAGCACAAATATTATTTTTTGGTACCAAGTGCCTTCATACCTGCACCTATAACTTTATTAACGACCACTAGAATATATGTAATATATGTAATGACTTATTTATTGCAGATATCGCTATTTCA